GTTGTTCCTACCTGTGAAGACCCACGGCTTTGACCCGAGACTGCTCCCTGCCATTCCACCAGGGCACTAATGGGCCCACCCAGGGACGCCAAATTCTGTTACTGAAAGTTTGGCACTTTCCCCTGAGGCTACATCAAGAGAACAAGGACAAGTAGTTTGAGGGGAAGGAAAGAGGAATTTATTAATTTGCCAGTAAACGAAGAGGTTGGCAGACTCCTGTCTCAAAGTACTAATATCCTCTTCCATTTTCTTGAATGCACGCCAGTCAGGTTTCTATCCTTACCATTCCACTGAAACCATTTCATCAGGGTCACTTAGTGATCTCTACTTTGCCAAACCCAATTATCATTGGACTCAGTTGATAATTTCCTCTTTGTTGAAATGCTTTCTTAAAAAAAAAATTGGTTTTTATGGCCAGGTGCAGTGGCTCACGCCTGTAATTACAGTACTTTAGGAGGCCAAGGTGGAAGTATCACTTGAGGTTAGGAGTTCAAGACCAGCATAGTGAAACCTCATCACTACAAAAAATAAAAAAAAAATTAAAAATTAAAAAAAAGAAGGTTTTTAGAATATCATGCTCTTGGTTCTCCATTAATTGCTCCTTCTTGGTTTCCTTTGCTAGTTCTTCCTCATGTCCCTGACCACTAAATGGTGGTGTAAGCTGGGTGGGAGGCTGATGCAGGAGAATTGATTGAGCCCAGGAGTTCAAGGTCGCCTTGCTATGATTGCACCACTGCACTCTAGGCTGGGCACCCCCCCCCAAAAAAAGAAAATTAATATCTCTAGCTCAGACCTTTTTCAGACTCTTTAAGTAGGCTACTATGTTGGATCATCTCCTTTTGAATGTTCAGTAGGTATCTCAAACTTAACATGTCTAAAATCAAACTTTTTTCCCCTTTGAACATGTTCTTTTTATATAGCCTTTTTCATGTCAATAAATGATGATTCCATTCTTCTAATTGCTTAAGATAAAAACGTTGAAGTCATCTTTATCTTGTCTCTTTCTCTGGTAACCATATCCCAAGCTGTCAGCAAATCCTGTCATCCCTCTCTTCAAAATGAGGGCCGGGCACGGTGGCTCACACCTGTAAATCCTAGTACTCTAGGAGGCTGAGGTCGGAGGATATTTTGAGCTCAGGAGTTCGAGACCAGCCTGAGCAAGAGTGAGACCCCATCTCTACTAAAAATAGAAAACTTAGCCAGGCATGGTACTGTATCTGTAGTCCTAGCTACTCGGAAGGCTGAGGCAGGAGGATTGCTTGAGCCTGGGAGTGTGAGGCTGCAGTGAGCTACGATGATGCCACTGCACTCTAGCTGGGGTGACAGAGTGAGACTCTGTCTTAAAAAAAAAAAAGTATTAAGAATCTCACCATTTCTCATTATCTCTACTGCTACTACCCTTGTCCAAAACACCATCATCTCTTGCCTAGATTTTTTTTTTTTTTTTTTTGGGACAGAGTCTCACTCCATTGCCCTGAGCAGAGTGCCATGGCATCAGCCTAGCTCACAGCAACCTCAAACTCCTGGGCTCAAGTGATGCTCCTGCCTCAGCCTCCCAAGTAGCCGAGACTACAGGTGCACCCCATGATGCCCAGCTAATTTTTTAATATTTTTAGTAGAGATGGGGTCTCACTCTTGCTTAGGCTGGTCTCGAACTCCTAAGCTCAAGCAATCCTACCACCTCAGCCTCCGAAAGTGCTAGGATTATAGGCGTGAGGCATGCCTGGCCATCTTGTCTAGATTTTTATAGCAGTTTCTCGACTGGTCTTTCCACTTCTACCCCTGCCCACTTTGAACAGTCTTCTCTTTTTTTTTTTGAGACAGAGTCTCACTCTTGCCCCAGGTAGAGTGAGGTGGTATCATCATAGCTCACAGCAGCCTCAAACTCTTGGGCTCAATGATCCTCCTGTCTCAGACTCCCAAGTAGCTGGGACTATAGGTTCATGCCACCATACTCAGCTAATTTTTTTTTATTTTTTGTAGAGACAGGGTCTTGCTATTGCCAAGGTTGGTCTCAAACTCCTGGGCTCAAGCAATCCTCCTGCCTCGGCCTCCCAAAGTGCTCAGATTACAGGCATGAGCCACCACACTGGTCTGAATAGTCTTTTCTCAACTTAGCAGCTAGAGTGAGCCTTTTAACACATTGACTGCCACAAAAAAATAAAAAAATAAAAAACAACCCAGAAAATTTCCCTTGGGCCCACAGTGTTTTAGTATGAAAATAGAATAAAAACTTTGAATATAATTTAAAGGTAAATATACATAGACAAACGAAATTGGTTGACTTCTATTCATTTAATCCACATTTTTGAAATTAAATTGTCAATATTAATTGTAACAATATAAACAAGATTTTATATGTGCTTCATGCAGCCCCAGGGTCAAAACTAGAGTGAGTTAAATACAACTCTCATGGCAGTTAATGTGTTAAACCACAAAATAGATTATATCATTTTGCTCAAAACCTCTTGTGTCTCCCCATCTCACTTAGTAAAAGCCAAAGCCCTTACGGTAGCGTTCAAGCTGTTATTACGTGAGCTCCTTTTACTTCTCTTACTTTGTCTCTCACTACTCTCCCTTTTGCTCATTCAGCCTTGGCATCACTAGCCTGTGTGCTGTTCCTTGAACATGCCAAGCATGCTCCTACCTCAGTGGCTTTGTACTTACTGTTCCCTCTGCCTGGAAAATCTTTCCCTCAGATATCTGTTGTGCTAATACCCTCACTTCATTTAGGACTCTGCTTAAATGTCACTTGAACAGAGAAGTTTTCCTTGAGCAACATATGTAAAATAGCAATCCCTCCACCACCAGAACTATCTCTTCCCTTTAATCCACTTATTTTTTTCTAATAGACTTATCACCATTTGATATATCTAGTTTATTGTTATGTTATATCTTGAGGAATTTTTTTATCCTCTTCAATAAACTGAAAGATGGCGATATATTCCTCAGGCTCTTAAAACTGGAAGCTCCATGAGAACATGGACTGTACCTAACTTGTTTATCATAGTATCTACAGTGTGTCATATAATTCCTGGTACACAGTAGATGTTCAATACATTTTTTGAAAGAATGAGTGCCTTTTAACTTCAACAGACAGACTAGCTTGCATTGATTGTGAGTATATGTGTGGGTGTAGATACCTGTGGTAACTACATGATTAGATGGTCCTTCTAATGTACATTTTATAGAAATAGTTCATTATCCATCTAAATACTGACCTTCTAAGCATTGTTTAATTAATTTATTTTTTA